GTCCTTCTCGAAACGCAACGCATAGATAATACTACTATAGTTATTATTATTTTCTAATACGACATTAATAAATTGTATCAAACTCCTTTATGAGAGAATCCGAAGCGAATTATATATATGAATTTAAAAATTTGAATAAACAATAGACAACTTTTATGGATCAATGATTTTACTCTCACGTACTAGTTTAGCTAGTGTGGTTGGTGACTAATTACTTATCCCATTTAAACGTTTTTATTATTGTCGTTATCCCTCCTCTAGTTTCTTGTCTTTTAGTGACCCTTTATATAATTAGGAATTCAATTATAAAACGAGTGAGATATCTATCATATGCTTATTTAAATAAATTTCGCGGATTATACTAACTAATATGGTAAATTGATGTATGCAGGAGTAGAGGCGAGAGGATTCATATTTGGACCTCCCATAGCATTAGCCATAGGTGCCAAGTTCGTTCCCCTACGTAAACCGGGAAAATTACCCGGTATGATAATTCACACATATTCAAATAAAACCGTAGACTAAAGTACGTGTAGATGAAATGCAATAGTATATATAATCGTTATTAAATGATGTTATTGCATGGTTTTGGTGTGTTAAAAAGGGAGAGTGATAAGCGAAGAGTACGAGCTTGAGTATGGAAGTGATCGTCTAGAGATGAGTGTGGAGGCTGTCCAATCCCGCGAACGAGCTCTCGTCATCGACGATTTGGTTGCTACTGGTGGAACACTCTCCGCTTCCATTAACCTCCTAGGTAAAAATATAACTATGTACTTTTTTTTTGTTTTTGTAAAATGAATACTAATGTTAAACAAATACACCTTTTAAAATAATATTAAACGAGCCTATAATATTTATGTACTTCAGAGCGAGCTGGGGCCGAAGTTGTGGAATGTGCCTGCGTTGTTGGTTTGCCTAAATTTAAGGTAAGTTCGAACCAATAGTGTTTGTTTGTTTGGGCTTTTACAGGCCTTATAGGCCCATTAACTGGGAGATAGGTACGACTTGTTTCTGTGATATGTATGTATGCAGGGGCAGTGTAGACTCAAGGGAAAGCCACTGTACGTTCTGGTGGAGCCTAGCCAGTTTGATGAATTAACCTTATGAGCATGCATCTTTCTATGCGGTTCTCGTCTCCATCGATATCTCGAGCTTCGAACTAGATGCAATATCAACGATTATGGCAATAATAATGTAATCGCGCGGTTTTATTGTAATTAAAGATTGATTAAATTCTATTAGACTCTTATGTGGGATGATTCATGCTAGTTACGAGCTACTCTGTATGTATGTAGCTCGCCTTAGTTCAAGCTTTGAGGTTTCAGTTTATTCCATTTTTATGTTTGATGTAGCTATTTTGGATTGGATTTGCATGTGTTGGAATAACAAAAGCGTTTTTAATGTGATGTAATGAATGGGTTGGATATTACAATGATAAATGTTTTTACCGATTTAATAGAGAAATACTATAGAGTTTTTGGCAATAGACTAATGTTTGTTAGACTATAGAGTTCTTGGCAATCATCTATAAGACAGATTTAAATGCACCACCTTTGCTTAACAGAATCGAAGTCATAATTCAAAAAATCTTGTACTGATCTTAATATATCAGATTATATTTGTTGAGAATTCATTAATATCTTCATCATATCATATTGTTGTTAGAAAATTTTGTATTTGTTTTTGTTTTTGTTATACATATCTTTGCCAAGGGGAAAAGAAATTAGGATAAAAAATATTTTTTAACGTTGGGTGTGGTTACACGCGCAACGCGGCCATGTGAAAAAAGCAAGTTACGAAAATGCCCCTGCCGCTTAAAGCTTGTGTATAAAAAGGTAAATTAAGGCCATGGCCTATCGTCAAAGAAAAACCCATCGGAAACCTAAACCATAGATAGGCGAACCTTCACGCTCCCTCCATCGAATCTCGATCGATAAATTCCCCAGGCTCATCTTCGTCTACCAAACCCTAATTTATCGCGTTTGGTTTCTGGAGATCAAGGGATCTTTCGGAATCGAATCATCTCTCAATCCTTCTTTGGATTTTGCAGCCATGTCTGCCGTATATTGCGGAAGCAAGCGATCTTTCTTCGAGGATATCCCTTCTCCTCCGTCTACGAAGAGGTTCCGATGTTATTCTCCTTCAGATTCTCCATCCTGGTCCTCTCCTTGCTCATCGCTCGATCAGCTTCGTACTGCGTTTCCTCATCTTGAACTCACGGTTGGGTCTTGTTCTACTCTTCTCTCATCTATATATCTCTCGGACACAGATCTAGGTTTATATTTTGCCCTTCTAGTACTAGTTGTTAGGCGCTGATTTCGTATGTGGTAGATTGAGATTTGCAGCATCGAATTTGCATGATTCGTCCTATCTGTGGGTGATTGGTTGAAGTAAGTTTTGAGGTGTACAGTAGCTAGGATTTCTTGTAACTGAGAAATTTAATCAGAGGTTTTGGATGGTTGCATGATATCTGTCTTCTCAGGTTCTTGTGAAGGCACTAGAAGAACATGGGAGTGATTTGAATGCTGCTATGAAGAGCTTATACTCTTTGGTATCTGCTAAGGAGAAGGAAGCTGAAGAATTGCCCGCAGGAGGTGCTATTAAGGAAACTGAGGTCGTTTCTGGTGGAACCTTTACTGCTTCAGAAAATTTACCGACGAGTGGTGATGACTGGGTTGAATTGTTAGTGAGGGAGGTGACACAAGCTACTGGTACAGATGATGCCAAAGCCCGTGCATCAAGAGTCCTGGAGGCTTTAGAGAAGATGCTAAGTGCCCGTGCTAGAGAAGAAGCTGGGAAAAAATTTGAAGAGGTAAAGCATTTAGCTGCATTTTACCCGCTAAGTGTGTGTTCCATTGAAAATAGAAACCACTGTGTGCATACATGCTGGGTGTCAGACATGCTAGGAAAACTGTGTTACAAAACCCATGAGTAGTGATCGATGAATAATCCTTGAGTTCTAGGCATGGTAGACAATTTCGAGTTAAGTGAGAGATAGTTTGAACCATTAGGGATTTCTTATGTTGCTTCACACGATGTCTTTGACTACAAATTGTTGGCTCTAAACGCAATTCTGTTAAGTACAGAGGAATCATTGGTAAAGGAAAACCATCCTCCTTTGGACAGCTTGTTGCAAATGACATTGTGTGAAGCTACATAGTTGTTCTGACATAGTTTAAACCATTAGTGTTTTCTTATGTATCATAGCACTGAGGATTCAACTATAAAGGAAAATCATCCTCCATTTGTTCTGTCGAAACCACAATATCTACGAAACTAATAGGCATGTTGTTCAGTCAGGAAATAAAGTTATGTCACAGTAAATTATTCTTAGGATTTGTTGTAATACCCTCTTGTGATTTGCAGGAGAAGGCAGCAGTGCAGCAACAACTGGAGGCCTTGATCAAGGACAACACAGTCCTGAAACGTGCTGTTGCTATCCAGCATGAGCGTCAGAAGCCGTTTGAAGATGCGAACCAGCAGCTAGAACTTTTGAAACACCTGATTCCTCAGTACCAGGAAAAGCTCAGAACTCTGGAGGTAAGACTTCAACCCTATTGTCCTTAGTTTGATGGTTTGTTAATGGTGGGTAAAGCTGTATATATATATATACTGAACATGCACACGAGGTCAGATTAGTATTGAGAAATAAATATTGAAGTCTGTCAGATTGATGAATCTCAGTGGTGGTTATACAAATGCAGGTGAACAACTATGCATTGAGAATGCAACTGCAGCAAGTGGAACATGGCAACCCCATGCCGATGAGATTCAATCCGGACGTCTTCTAAAAGCTCTCCAAGATACAAAGGACAGTTGCAGAGGAGAAGGCAATAATTAACGCAAGTAGAGAGATATCAAACTACAGAAGAGAATTGTATTGCTGTCTAGTCAGAACAACCAACATACATGTTTCC